GTATCATAACAAAACAATAAACAATCACGTGATCTCGTGTTATGATACGAGATTTTTGTAAAATTATTTTCTAAAAATATTAAGTTTAAAAATTCCGTATACATTCCGTATGATTAATTTTTTCCGTATACATTAGTTTTTTTAAAAAATGTTCAAAAATGAATTGCTTATTAAATATACGGAATTTGTATACGGAATCTATAGAAACGTACATAAAATGTATACAAAACGTATCCTTTCCGTATACATATTTCTTATAGGGTAGTATTTGACTTTTGTTATACTTATACTTCTGTAATTATAATAATACGTTAAATAATATAATATAAACAAACTATTAAATAGAATTCCTGATATTATAATTGCATAAAACAAAACAGGTAAGAATATTTCAAACTTTTAACACTGTAGGCAATTTTTTTCGTGTACAATTGCAATATTATTGCAATATTATTTATAAATGATTGATCTTGGGAAGAAACAATTAAATCACATGATTTATCATTAATACAAAATTTGGGATCAGCACGATAAAGCAAACGGATTATACTAAAACATTTGTTGAAATTCTTTTGTAAAAGAAAAATATTCAGTCGTGTTATTATTTAGAGTCGTTCAATTTGTTTTCAATTTTTCTTAAAAAAAAAAAAAAATTTTAATTTTTTCATTTATTGCACGCGTTATTATAAAACAATATAAATAAAACTTCAGTTAGAGTAATAAAATATTATTATTAAATTACCGAAATATTTGTTTAAATAATTATCTTTAATTGATAAATGCCCCAAAAGAAAAGAATATTTGGTAAGCACAAAATTAAATTCTTAAAATACTATTGTTTATTTCCTTTATATTAACTAACAGACTTTAGTATTAAAAGTCCCAAAAGAGATAGCTAAAGATATTCAAATACAAGATGATGATCTTCTGATAGTAATAAGGAAATACCACATCTGCTGTAAAAAATACAAAAAATCGAATAAGAAGCAGCAAAATAACGAATATAATGAAGAAAATGAGGAATTTACACTTTCCACATCTACAAAAAGGACAAGATCCAGACAGCAAAAAACAAAAATGAAGATACTAATGATCTAATAATAACAGAACTGCCGAGTAAACCTAGCTCACTGAAAGAAGCAGGAAACAAATACTGATAGTAGTACAAGGGATACTCCAGAAATAATTGATGTTGATTCAGCTATATATCATATTACATGAGCAGCAAGCGGATATTAAAACTATTATATCCAGTGTTTCTAAAATGACCACTATGACTTATATGACCTAGTCAAAAATGTGATGAACACAGCCAATACCCAACCAAACTTGGAATAGTAAAATAGTAAAGGTGCTACCAGTGCAAGATCTATTAAACTATTAGAATGATGTTTCAGTGCAATTAATTCTGATGGAAATTATTATTAGAAATTTAATGATTAAATGCAATTGTAAATTTCTTCACCCAAAAAAATCATTTGTATATTTTTCTTTTTCTTTTTTTCCTTTTAGATCTACAAATACTTCCAAAAGAAGCTTTATCATAGTTTTCAGAATAATATATAAATTTTAATAAAAAGAAAAGAATATTAATATTTGATGCCATCAGTGAATAAATTTCTAAAAGGTAACAAATTCGTAATTGAAAATTTGAAATAATCATGATATTACCAAAAGATTGTAATAATATTTTTATATTGAAAATATGACTATTATCTAATGGCGCAAATAAAGTTGCTAACATATTTTACTATACTATATAAGAAATAATAGAATATAGATCGATAGGTTTAGTTCACAAAAATTATTTAGTTAGAATTTTTAATATAGATTACATAATAAGTATAAATATTGAAATTATACTTAACTTTAGATAGATAGGTTAGGTATAGGGTTATTAATAATTAATTAACATTACATCTAAGTATCTTGTATAATTATGTAATCTTTTTTTTGATTTAAATAATTAATAAGCGTAAATCAAGGAAATTACGAACATGTTTTATACACTCATAATTAATAATATAATATGCTGTATATTAAAATACTTTTATTATATATCGAAAATATGATTGCTATCTAACAATTATGTGTTTATCATATTTATAAAAATTGAAGGTTTCTGTAAAGTAATTATAGGATTAATTTATTAATTCATAAATAAAAAAAAGACTGAATCATGAAAATATTCTAATATATTTAAAATGTCATATACTTATTACGAAAAAGAAAATACTATTTTATGGAACCAGACCAAAAAACCTCAACCGGTTAAAACTTAATTCTGACCGGCATTAGAATTTGACCGGAGTTAATATCATATGCAAATTTTAAATAATAATTCAAGCAAGAATTAAGCTCAATTTATTGTTAATTAACACTTGTTGAAGTGTAATTTTAATATAAAAAATATGTAAAATATTAATTATATATATAACCTTTTTCGTTAACAATTTTACCTTAATGTTAATGCTTGAAAAGGGCATTTTAACCGAATAAATTAACCGGCTAAATTAACCATTTTTAACGGTTAATAACCTGGTTAACCTTAACTGACTCCAAGCTCTAGTTTATTATACTGTATCTATCTTATATAAATAAAATATTAATAAAAACATGCAAAATATATTCATGAATAAGATTTTTTTTTTGCGATTTAATTAATGAAATTATCATTTACAAAGTATACTAGTAGTTTTATCTTATACTGTATATGTGTATAACCAAATAAAGTAAGATTAAATTTTATTTACCAATTCGAAAAATTTATTTTTCAAACAAATATCCAATTATAAAATCCTTTAGCATATCGTCATGTTTCACATGAAATGAGAAGTGATTGGCTGGTAGTGACCACTGTAAAGAAGTGTACTAGTTAGTTACTATATCAATAATTTAAAGCAGAGATGTTCTACACATTCTGCATAAAAATGAACTTCTTTGGTGGTAAACTTTATTGAGTTGGATAATGTCATTTGTTACAATGTTAGTACCATATCTTTATATTTATTTTAGAGTTAAAAATACTGTGATCTTTTTTCTTATTATAAAGCTAATAATATCATACAAATATTAATTCTTTTAATTTATTAATCCAAATTTCCTTGTCCAGCACATTTATCATTATTTATATCCTTTCAACTCCTTTTATTTTCATACATAAAAGCAAGATTCCATTGAGAAAAACAATCTCCTAAATTTGCAGCTTTTTAACATTTATTTCAGTTCCTTTTCCATAATAAATATCCTAACTGACCTAGTTATCATAAATTGCTGATTTTTGATATAACTCATATGCCTTTTGTTTATCAACACTGGTTCCAATCCCAAAACTATAGCAATATTCTAAACCAGTTAATCCGAGTACATTTCCTAAATTTGCAGATTCTTGATATAGTTCAAATGCCTTTTGATAATCAATACTAGTTCCAACTCCATTATTATAACAAACTCCCAAATTATATATTCCACGTGTATTTCCTAAATTCGCAGCCTCTTGGTATAGTTCAAAGGCCTTTTGATTATCAATACTGGTTCCAATTCCACAATGATAGCAATATCCTAAACTAGTTATTCCAGATGCATGACCTGCATTTGCTGCTTTTTGATAAAATTCAAATGCCTTTTGTTCATCAATATTAATTTCAATTCCAAAATGATTAAATAATCCAAGTAAAAACACAGAATCTGAATTATCTTGATTATTTAATAACCAATTATAAATTTCTTGCGAAGTTAAATTATGATTATTAAGATAATTAATAACTTTATGCTTTTTGTTTGTTGCTTTTATATTTTCAAGAAGGAAAATCATTTCAGCAATCATTATTTCAAAATCATTTATAATTAGATTTGATAAAATTGAAGGTTCGATTTCTTTTATAATTACTTTACTAAAATTTTGAAAACTTTGAGACATATTCCCATATAATGAACTATTAGTAATGTTTTCATGAAGTTGCTGTTTACTTGATAATTGGATGCTTTCTTTTAGAATAAAAGCATTTAATTTTTCTACAACCTGGTTGATAGTTGGACGATCATCTGACCAGCAATCTAAATAATATAAATTAAGCTTAAAACTAATAATATTGTATTATAAATTATATTTTAAGCATAATTGTACTTGCCAGTATATATTTGCACATAATCTTCAGGTGTGCCAAGACTGACATCATGCAGTTCTTTACAAAAGGGTGATTTGCCACTAGAAATTTCCCATAAGAGTATGCCAGTATTGTAAATATCGCACTTTTTATCACTATTTATAATAAAAATTTGTGGATCAACATAGGCGACCATTTCATTTCTATTTGACAACCCAAAATCAGCTAATTTAATTATATTTCTATGAACTGAAATACTATCTGATCGCTATTATAAAATATAATAAATAAAATTAATATTGTATTTGGTATATAGTCTTATATTAAAATGTGAATAAGCGCCGTAAATAACATACCAAGTCATGATACATGATTTCTTTATCATGTAAATAAGATATAGCGTCAACTAGTTGAAACGCTAGATTTAATTTATCGTTCCAAGTGAGATTTTCGAAGCGTTCGCTTAAATAATTTCGAAGGGTACCACTATCGGCATATTCCATCATCAGCAAATATTTTTTTGAATTGTCACACTGGATTTCTTTTGAAAAATAAAAAATATCTTAGATTTATTCACTTTTTAGTTGTTAAATACTAAATTTTTTAAAATATTTATAATACCCGTTGTAATGCTATAAAAGCGAATAATATTTTCATGGAAATCCACTTCACGCTGAAGTTTAAGCTGAAAATAAATAAAATTAGAAATTAGAAATGCAATGTACAGTATATTAACGTTTCTAAAGAAAAAATGTTTATATTAATATTATATTTACTTTATTAACAATTCCTTTATCAGTGATATCGAAATTTATAAAAGATTTTAATGCTAAAAAACCATGAGAATTTTTCCAATTTGCACGGTAAACTCTTTCGAAATTTCCGAAACCGATTTCTTGAATATTATTAAAGTGTTTATGATCATAATATTTAATTCGTTTCTTAACAATAGACTCTTCAATCCACTCATTTGAATTATTAATGACTTTAAGTTCAGAGTTGTTGGACATTGTCTACTAAGTACAGCTTTTCTGCAGAAATTAAAAAAGTAAAAAAAAAAATTTTATTCTATTTATAGAAGAAATTTATGCTATTTATAGAATTGGCGTTCTGACATTTCCAAAAATGAATTTGTGTTACGCTCATGCGGCGGAAAAAATTTAATTCAACGTTGTCCTACGTTAGACTGTTCGTAAATACTTTTACTTAACATATAATCCGTCCTGAAATTTTTTTTTTTTTGCATGAAACATAATACCATGAAATTTAACTTCCTTATTTCCTTATATCGAATTTATCATTTTAAGTGAGATTTCTTTTTTATACAAGTTTATAAAAATTTTAATTCCTAAATTAATTACTGTACGATCAATACATATATCTTTAATACGCTTTAGAAATCGTTAAATTGTTAGTAGCCAAAATTGGATGACGACTTTATCTAACAGATTCAATTAATCAAAGTTCCAGAAATCTTAAAATACCGTATAGCACTGCCTAAGATATATCAATTTCAGCGATTTAAAAATTGAATTATACTCGGGTGTGTACGTTCATCCTGTCAGTACAAGACAAATTTAATATATGAAAATTTTAAATTCGATTTATAATATTAGTCTACTTCAGAATTGTGATTTTTGATCGGTTACACTAAAATTATGATCAACAAATTTTAACTGTTAGAATGATCAACTGACCGTTCAACGTGAACCACCAAAAACGTAGGTCTTTTTGGTCGAGTAGATAAAAACATACTGACGGAAATAAACAAAAACAACAAAACACTATCTAATTGGTTGGTTAATAGTTTATCACGATCAATTAATCATCTGCTCAAAATTGAACTTTAATCGCAAATTTTGGTTGGTTTTTATTTTTTGTGATCAAAATGCCGATCAATCAATTCCTATTGATTAAATATTCTAATTTTAGGAAATAAAATAGAGCTACATATCACATTTTTGGTATATCAGAGACGGTATTTTATATGGTACGCCAAAAAGGCTATGCGGTACCTTTTTTTCAAGAAAATTTTTTTTTTTTTGAACGACATTAACCAGAAAGGTAATTTATTCAATAAACTTAATCTTATGGAAACTTTATTTTGTTCAAATGTATATACTATACAATATAAATGTCCTTTTCGGTTTATTTTCTTTGTATTTATTGTTTTAATATGAAGTTATAAAATACCGATAAGCTAGTAGCTTTTCAGTTAGATAGTGATTTGTGGAATTGTTGATTCATATTCTCTAAAACTTTTTGTTATAAACTCATTTGAATAATAGAATTTATATTTAATTTATATAACGGATATATACATTTCTAATAATAGGGAATATATTAACCTCTTCACAATAAATCTTCAAGATAATCCCAGAAATAATTCATATATAAAATAAACCGAAGCTAAAAGTAAAATTTAGCGTTAGCAACCTTCCTATTTATAAATAATAATCATATACTAACGTTCCTTTTGCAACTACAATTATTGAGATTATTATTCATAAGTACTAGATTTATCTTTATATTGCATATAACCAAATAAAGTAAAGTTAAAATTATAATTTACAAACTTATAATAAATGTATTTTTCCAAAACAATTAGCAAACATAAAATCCACTACATATTATCGTGAAATAAGAAGTGCGTATGACTGTAGCGGCTACTGTAAAAAAATATACTAGCTAGTAGTTACTATATTAACAATTTAAATACTTAAACCAGAAATTACTAGTATAGTAATAACTTGCTTGTATTCTACACATTTTGCACTTCTATGTTTGCCAGTGAATTTTAGATTGGATTGGATAGTGATATTTGTTATAGTGTCAGTGTCATAACTTTATGTTTCACTTTAAAAAGTAAAGGATTTTTTTGGATACCATCGAATACTTACATTAATATTTTAACAAGCAATAAAATAAAATAACCTGTAATTTTTTTTTTGCCATGAAGCTAATAATTCATAAATAATTTATTATATATTCAACTCTTTAACTTATTAATCAAATTAATTTATAATGAGCTTTCAGATCTCCTTATTCAGAACATTTTTTATACCAATAAATTGCTTGATTAATATCCTTTTCAACCCTTTTCATTTTCATACATAAAAGCAAGGTTACATTGAGAAAAACAATCTCCTAAATTTGCAGCTATTTGATTTAACATTTGTTACAATTCCTTTTTCATAATAAATATCTTAATCTAGTAGTAGTTATACCAATTACCAAATGTATTTCTTGAATTTCTTGCTTTTTGATATAACTCAGATGCCTTTTATTTATCAAAACTGGTTCCCAAACCCATAACTATAGCAATATTCCAAACCAGACATTCCAAGTAAATTTCCTAAATTCGCAGATTCTTGAAATAGTTTAAATGCCTTTTGTTTATCAATACAAGTTCCAACTCCATTATTATAACAAACTCCCAAATTATATAATCCACGTGGATTTCCTAAATTTGCAGTCTTTTGGTATAGTTTAAATGTTTTTTGATGATCAATATTAGTTCCAATTCCATAATGATAACAATATCCTAAACTAGTTATTCCAAATGCATGTCCTGTATTTGCTGCTTTTTGATATAATTCAAATGCTTTTTGTTTATCAACCTTAATTTCAATTCCAAAATGATTAAATACTCCAAGTAAAAAAATAGAATTTGAGTTTTCCTGATCATTTAATAACCAATTATAAATTTCTTGTAAAGTTAAATTATGATTATTAAGGTAATTAATAACTTCATGCTTTTTCCATACTGCTCCTATATTTTCAAGAAGGAGAATTATTTCTTCAATTATTATTTCAAAATCATTTATAATTAGATTTGATGAAACTAAAGGTTCTATTTCTTTTATATTTACTTTACTAAAATTTTGAACAATTTGAAACATTTCTTCATGTAATGAATTATTAATAATATTGATATTCTGTTGTTTACTTGATACTTGAACATTTTCTTTTAGAATAATTGCATTTATTTTTCCTGCAATCTGGTTGATAGTTGGACGATCATTTGGGTCATTGTTCAAGCAATCTAAATAATATAAAATAGGCTTAAAATTAATAATATTATATTATAAATCATATTCTAAACATAGCAATTGTACTTGCCAGTATATATTTTCACATAATCTTCAGGTGTGATAGGACTGACATCATGCGGTTTTTTACAAAGGGGTGATTTTCCACTAGAAATTTCCCATAAGAGTACGCCAGTACTGTAAATATCGCACTTTTTATCATTATTTCTAATAAAAATTTGTGGATCAACATAGGCGACCATTTCATTCCTTTTTGACAACCCAAAATCAGACAATTTGATTATATTCCTTTGAACTAAGATATTATTTGAGTGCTATTATAAAAATATAATAAATAAAATTAATAATTGTATTTGGTATATTGATATAGTCTTATATTAAAATGTAAATAAATACTGTAAATAACCTACCAAGTCATAATACATAATTTCTTTATCATGTAAATAAGATATAGCGTCAGCTAATTGAAATGCAAGATTTAATTTACCGTTCCATGTGAGATTTTCAAAACGTTCGCTTAAATAATTTCGAAGGGTACCACTATCGGCATATTCCATCATTAGCAAATATTTTTTTGAATTATCACATTGGATTTCTTTTGAAAATAAACATATCTTAGATTTTTTCGTTTTTGGTTGTTAAATAAATTTTTAAAATATTTATGATACCTGTTGTGATGCCATAAAAGCGAATAATGTTTTCATGAAAATCCACTTCACGCTGAAGTTTAAGCTAAAATAAATAAAATTATAAATTAGAAACGTAATGTGTATTAGCATATCATAACAAAAATGTTCACATTAATATTATATTTACTTCATTAACAATTTCTTTAGCTGTGATGTCGAAATTTATAAAAGATTTTAATGATAAAAAGCGATAAGAACTTTTCCAATTTGCACGATAAACTTTTTCGAATTTTCCGAATCCAATTTCTTGAATATTATCATAGTGTTTATGATCGTAATATTTATTAATTTGTTTCTTTGTAATAGATTCTTCAATCCAATTAATCCACTCATTTGAATTACTAATATCTTTAGGTTCAGGATTGTTGGACATTGTTTAAGTATAGAAATGTTTTTATTGTAAAATTTAATTTACGTTAAAAAGTTTAAGAGAAAAAAAGATTTTGTACAATTTATATTTTGTACTATTTATAGAAATTGGCGTTCCGGCATTTCCAAAAAAATGAATTTGTGTCATTCTTGTATAGAAATTAGAAAGAGATCTGATAAGTGCGTAACGTAAATATTCATTATGTAACGTAAAGTGAAATTTTTTTCATCTTAACGTAACTCACTTTATACAAGTCACGTGCTTTACACAGAATCTTGTGACTGTTGTTTATCGGTACAACAAAAATTACTTAAAAAAATTCCCTCCACTTTCTGTCCGTTTTATTAGAAATCCGCAGTAAATTTTTTACAAAAACCTTTTTTACGTCGATTCCTTTCAGGACAACCAAAGGCGATACCGTCTCCTTTGTGTTTTGGTTTGGGCTTATAGTTTTATGCAATTTGTACTGTAGCTTAGTTCGCTTTGAAAATAAAAATAAAAATAAAAAATAAACAAAATTATTTCTCCACGAACTCTTCTTTTTTTTCTTTTTCCATATTAAAATATTAAATTTTCTTAAAAAACTTAACTATGGAATATTATTGTTAAACTGCATGATACTATTTTTGTTTATAATAAACGCATTTTTTTTATAATACTTCAAGTTTAATGAAAGTCATATAACTAGTATGGAATACAAATAATTTTATTAATATTGTTGTTAAATTGTCATAATACATTTATTTTCAATTTTATAGCACGATTTCAATGTTTTTGTTAGAAGCTTAAGTGAAGTTTGTTCAGCAGGTATGGAACCACTTGAGTATTAATTTTATTAAACAACTTTAATATTCATAACAATATTATATCTTTTATGTTAAATTACAGTGTATTTTTAACCGAAACAAGTCCTTGGAATCATTTAGCGGGTGTTGAGTTGTTTTAGGCATTAATTTTTATGAAGTAATTAGTATTTTTTTTTTACACGTATTTAAAACTACTGTATTTCATCAAAAATAATGTTTGTTTATTTGCTTATTGAAATTGATCTTAATTTATTGCCTTTATAACAGAAAATTTAAAAATTAGTGCTTTTACGCTTTATTACAATAATTATTTATATAAAATAATTTGTTTTATTTATCTATTTTATGTCAAGCAGGCAGCAGTCTAAGTAAAACTATAATACAATCAAAGAAAGTATAGTGCTACAGCAGGACGGTTATCATCTAGTAAAAACTACTTAGATTCTCACTTGTAATGAGAAACCTCCTGTTCTCTACCATGACCAATAAAGAACAACAATAGTAAACAATGAAACCCAGGCGAACAAGAAAAAACAAAAAAAGAATTCAAGCCAATTCATCCGTATTTTTCTTTTAACTAGTTACTATACGTAAATACTGTCAAGTATAGAATGATGTAGTTGTTATAGGTCCATAATTGTTTTTATATTTTGGGATGTTCTATTTAATCATGTGCCGGTGTAGCTGGGAGGTGTAACTTTTGTATTTGATGATGTCAAAGCTTGAGGATGTTTTGACGCGATGGAAAATTCGTCCCCATCACGAAAGGGTGTTATACTGTACGTCTGAAAGAATTGAAGGGTTATTAATAATATTTTGATCTTGATTTGATATTTGGAAAAATCCTGAGTTGTTTGCTTTATGACTGATGTCTTCGATGTAGCTAAGGCTTGAGCGTCATTGCTGAAATTGTTTGTAGCGTTCAACGGCTTTATTATAGCCGTAATTGTACTGTAGGCGTGAACTGACGTTAAAACGTCGTCTAACTTTGTTGTCAAAAAGGTCAATATTGTAGGTATTACAACCCTATAAAAAATTTTTTTCCGAATATTTCCATTATTTCTCCATGTCTTCCATAAAAATTCCGTGAAAATGATACATTCACGGATATCCGTGTTAGTGAGATGAAAATTTCCATGATTTAAGGCTATAAATTCCATGAAAATGATACATTCACGGAAAAACATGGAAAGATAAAACACGGATCAGATTTTTTCAGGGCAATAATATATGTGAGGATCGCCTAGTAGATTAGGTGGTAAAGGTGGTAAAGGTTTTTTCAATTTGTTGCGTTTTTTGGTTCGACGTCCTATTATATTTAATAAATAAAAAATCAATAAATGCATACCAAATAATATATAATTTTTTTTTGCGATTTAATTAATGAAATTATTATTTATAGAGCAGATTTATTTTTTATACTGTAAATAACCGTCAAATAAAGTCAAATTAAAACTATATTTATCAATTCAAAAAATTAATTATTTTTTCAAAACAAGCAGCAAATAATAAAATTCCTTAGCATATTATCACTTTTCACGTGAAATAAGAAGTGATAGTCCTGTAATATGGCTGGTAATGACGACTGTAAAGAAGTGTGCTAGTAGTTAGTTCACAATAATTTAAAAACTTAAAACAGAAAAGACCAAACTAACTTTAGTAAAGAAACTTACATTCTGCATAAAAATGCACTTCCATATGTTTGGTTGTGTTAAATTGGTTAATGTTACTTGTTACAATCCCAGTAAATAGTCATCGTTTATAATTTATATTGTATTCATTTGGAATTTATGTATATTGTTAATTTTATATACTAAATTTGAGCCACTTAATAAAATTTAAAAAAATTATTTTTTAATAATGTACTAAACTTGTACTATTTGCTTGGTTTTGTACTAATTATATATGTACTAAATTTGTGTTAATCACTCAATTTTATACTCGTAATATGCTAAATTTGTACTAGTTGCTTAGTTTTATACTAGTTTTATATCTATATTCGTATTAATTACACATTTTGAATTTTTTTTGAACCATATACTAAATTTGTACTAGTTATGGTTTTTTTTAATTATATACTAAATTCGTACTAATTTGGCAGTATTTCTTCATGTAACATTTAACATTTATTCTTTTTCTGAAATATATAAGTGCTCTTATCTGGATTATCGACCTTATCAATAATATAGTAAAAATTTACTACTACTAAAAATCCTACGTAACGATCAAACACATTAAACATTTTTGAAATTGCATATCACGTGTATGTGTATCACGTGAAATATTATTATTAATACTGATCTCCGATCTCTTTTTTAAACTTTTTTTTTTTAGGAGGCTCCCCAAAAAAAAACTCTTTCCCCTTTTATGAATTTTCGTTAGTTTTCCGCAGCAATTTTGCATAAGTTTCATTTTTTCGTTTCTATCCAAAACACCAAAGGGGGAGAGGCCTATACAGGCACCTCTGTCTTATACGAGGTTTTTGGTTCTTATTATACCCTATATTATATGAAATATGTCTTCTACACCTTTTATTGAAATAGACTGGTCTTCCGCTTCACAACATTCTTATCCTCAACTTGGTGACTTTATACTGCCTGAAAACGACTCAGCCATAATATTACATAACACTGAGCGGTCAACAGTACTTTCCGCTAAGGATATTCTTTCCCTTGATATTGATGATATTTATCCTTATATGTACTCAACTCTTCACTTCAAAGACAATGACTTGGAAGAAACCTATAATGAAAACGAAGATGACTATTTTCAAGAACTACTAAATACTGCACTAAACGCTGAAATACAAGAAGTCAGCCATGGAGGAAATGATATACCTCCAGTTTACGACACTCCTTTAACTCCTATACAGGACAACATTCCTTTACCACTACTGGATACTACGCCTCCCTCAGATAATTTACCCACAATTTTAACTCCTATACAGGACAATATTCCTTTACCACCACTGGATACTGCGCCTACCTCAGAAAATTTACGCACAAATGAGAAAAAAAATACTTTGCTGGTCTCCCTGAAAAAATTTCACGTGACTATGCCAAAACGTTCCGGTTATAACAAGATTTACGAAATTCGCCGCTCTAGGAGTTTCTTTTTTGAGCTTGCTGATCATAATCAAAACACCAATGAAATTCATTTGAAGATACACACTAATGATTATCATATGAAAACTAAACCGATTAGTTATAATAACACAAGTTCGTTCCCCAATGACAAATATCAAATCAGCTGCATGATTACGCATTTTTTTGCCTCACAAAGAGTTATTCCACGTCGAATACAAGACAAATATTTTAATTTTTTACGCNGCACTTTTTTTCAACACAAAAAGTTATTCCTCGAAGATTGCAAGAAAAATTTTTTACATATATTCGTAAAAAACTATTGGAGCGTTTGGATTTTATAAGATCACGTGCCCAAAAAAAAGACAAAAGCAATCACATGACTAAAACTTTTTTTAATTTTTCGTATAAAAAATATAGATTTTATTTTGGAATTTACCTCCCATGTAATCATACTCATACAGTAGGTTTACTTCCCAATACTACTGCGACTTGCTCCATTCCGGTCCCCTTTACAATGTCACATCACCGTCATGCCTGCATCATACACCATAAGAATCTAGTTCTATACTGTATCTCGAAGGACAACAAAATTCCTGACTTTAGTCGTTGTAAAACATTCAAAGATTTTCACGCATCTCGCCTCTACAACAGATGGACTAAAAAGAAATTTCATCAGAATTTTTCGAACCGATTGGGAATCTCTTTCACCACATCATACCACGCATATAACACTAACGTCGTCGCTACAAAAGGATTTGATTTTATTTATGGCAAAACTTATGGGAATCTTCAATTTACTCCCAGTTCTTCTCCAAAGGTAAAGAAAAATCAAGAAGCACGTTTTAATGCTCTGGTTAGACACACTTTTCACAACGCCAAGTTGGATGACAATGCGCTAACGGAAGATAAACTCCAAGTTGCACGACATCACAAACTATTATTCCACGAAAATCAAAGTTTTATCACTCCCATTAAACACCTTCGATACAAGAAAAGATTTGTCGTACCATCAAAAGGTTATTATACCTTTCCGATCCCTTTTCATAAACCAAGGACTGTATCTGTACCTGCTATAGTGGAACCGATTTGCATCGATAGCTCTGTTGCGTCTACATCATCTAAGAATTCTAAATCCCCAGTCAACACAAACAATTGGGAGAATGTACCTGAACATTATATTCCTTTGATCCCTCCATTTCCCATTTACGAAGGTGGTCGATTGAATCAACCTTCTCGTTTAAAAATTCAGACAAAACAACTACAACCACTTGCAGTTGGCAGTGATGGCTGGCTAGCCCTCATGAAAGAAATTTATGATGATTACATATCATCGACAAAATATGAACAAGGAAAAATCGATGCTGGAATACAATGGGAAACTACCCCCGATCAAGGTGAATATCGGAGAGATCTTTGCGATCTTATAATGCAAGTCACAAACAACAAACATGAATATGAAATGAAATTATTAGAAATTTCATCGTCAGTACCTCCTGAATTACCAATTGTAACTGGACCGATTAAAAACAGCGAACGCAAAAAACGCGAAAAGCGTCACTCACAAAAATTGAAAGAATTTGAACGGAAAAAACAGGAAGATACTGAAATCTTAGCAGACTTACATTCTAGGGTCATCAATGAGGATGATATTTTTTACATGGAATACTATAAGAGTGATTATAGTCTGGCATATCAGCCTTGTGCTATCATGGACGATCGACCGCTTAAACGAAGTGCCAGAGATAATGGCAATTTAGATACTCATTATAGCTATCATATAGATAAAAAGGTTTGTATATTATCCGCCTCGATGGATTTAGAAAACAGTTCCTCTACTCGTACTACTTAAGAATTTGTTAGTCATTTTAATATAACCACTTATACATATATTAGTTTCTTTTTGTACATGCTTTTTAGCATTTTGGTTCTTTTTTTTTTACGTTAGATTTTTCACAACCTAAAATAGTGTAAACCATTCCACCTCTTACAGTATTTACAGGTGGCAACCCTTGTGGTTGAAAGAAAAATACGGATTAATGCTCGTCAATTAATTGAATTTAGCTATTTATAATGTTTAGATCGCCACAACTTCTTATTATTTTGTTAGGGTTCTTTATATAGTTCATACTTTTTCTTGGACATTGGTCCCTATTCGGTAGCGGAGGGGATCAATCTGGTTCGATGGATTCAAAGAAGTTCGGGTCCGCCCTAGGGTGGATGATAGCTAGATGTAAGGTAGCACCGTTAGGTATATGTCCTGTTAATAGCCTATCCGTCTTCACATAAAATAAATAAATAAAAAAACTTTTTTTTTTTAACTTTTTTTTTAACTTTTTTTTAATAAAACTTTCTCTTTCGTTTTTCCTCCCTCCTCTCTTTCTTCCTCTCTTTCATTCTTCCCTTTTCATTAACTAGAAACATCAAAATTCCAAGAAAACTATTTCCCAAGAAGAAAAAAAATAAAAGCTTACCAAGAATATGGAAAACACAAGCTTTCCAAACTGGAGACGGCCAGGTGGGTGTTTATTTTTCTTTTTTTTTCTATTTCTTTACTGTTAAAATTGTTAACATCATTTTTTTTTTTAGGTTTCATTTTTATTTCATAAAAGTGGAGGTAGCACTTTTTTTTATTATTTTGTTGTATTTTTTTGTTCATGTGTTAATTTTTCTTTTTTTTAGATTTTTTCTTTGTTTTAGCCTTCGGACATGTTAGATTTTGGTAAGAAGAGGAGTTTTTTTTAATATATCTCTTTTAATAAAATGTTTCAGTTTCTAACATTTCATTCATTCATTTTTTTAGATGGTACAGAGCATGGAACTCAGAATTCAGCAATTTTTGATCTGGGGATTTGTTTTCTGTGGGTTTTTAATGGACTTTTTATTATCATTTTTTAACGAAATTTTACTTATATTTTGTTATTTTTTTTCTTTTTTTTAGAAGACCGGCTCTTCTGATTTTTAGACGTTTGGAATTTTGCATGTGGGTTTTTTCTTTAAGTCTTTATATTAATGAAATATTTATTAACTAAAATTTTGTTCCTTTCTTTTTTGGGGCGTTTTATAGGAAGAATACAGCTTCGAACTCTGAAGAAACCTAATATTCTGGTACTTAGGTTATTATCATGTCAATAACTTCTTATTTTTATAAAAGTTTAATTATTTGTTTTCTACTTTAAAATATATTAAACATATGTAATACAAATAGATTAAAACTGCGTGACACAAATATAAAATTTGTTAATACGTACATGTACAAATTTATATTCAAAATAGCTCATAATT